CCTCGTGCCATTATTCATCTTCAGATACACATCTCCAATTCCAATGACTTTAACCAAGCCATCGTTGCCTATATTTACTGTTCCAAAATCACCAGATTTATAAGATGTAAAGAAATCCTTCCGAGATGTAGCATGAATGGAGGCACCACTGTCAATCACCCAACTAGTCTCATGGTATGCAACATTTATCATCTCATCATCATAAACAATGAGGAAGTCTGCAGGAGTGGTGGTAGCAACTCTGTCATCACCATCTTTGTCATCTCCATTCTTCGTTCCCTTCCATTTCTCATTCTTGTTTTCTTTCTTCAATTGCCTGTAAAATTTCTTGATGTGTCCCTTTTTCCCGCAATGATAACACTCAACATTTGCAAACTTGTTGAACTTGCTTCTGTTGTTATTTCTGTTCTTCGGACCTCTGCTCTTACTTCTTCCCCTCTTTTCTGTAACCAAGATCTCTGACTGTGAAGAGGATCTCTGTGTTTTTCTTTTCATCTCTTTATTTAGCAAACAACTTTTGGTCATATCCATTGTGATTACACCTTCTGGAGCGGAGTTAGACAATGAAGTTCTGAGCGTCTCCCACGAGTCCGGTAATGAACCAAACAATCATAACCCTTGTATCTCATCATTAAACTTAATACCCATTCCAGCCAGCTGATTAATAATTCCTTGTAATGTATTCAGGTGATCAAATAAAGGAGTCCCGTCCTGGTATCTCAAAGCCATCATCTGCTTAATCAGAAATAATTTATTATTTCCAATCTGTCTAACATATAGCTGTTCAAGCTTACTCAATAGAGAACGTGCATGTGTCTCTCCACTAATATGGTTCAAAACATTATCATCTACCCACTTCCTGATATACCCACATACCTGTCGATGTAACAAAGTCCATTCCACATCAGATTTGTTTTCTGGTTTTTCAGCACTAAACACCGGTTGGTAATAATCTTTTACATGAAGAAGATCCTCCATTTTTCCTTTCCATATGTGATAATTTGAACCATTTAAATTAATCATTCTACTCGTATTTGTTTCCATAACTCAAACTGCCAACCTGGCAATCTGTCAACCTAGAACTCTGATACCACTTTGTTGTGAGAGATGACAATAAACAAATACAGTGGAATAATTCTTCTCCCTATATGCAAGCAAATATAGTATATCTTTACTTTTATATGCGCTGAAAATAATATAGAACAAATCAATCACACCAAGCCACAAGAACACAAGCAATTTTTTACGTGGAAAACTTCCCCAGTGTGAGGAAGAAAAACCACAGGACCTAGTCCAGTTAAATCTCCACTATCAACCAAATAATGGGTACACAAAGTCTTCTCTAATCGCAATTAGAGGATACAAAACATCTCATCAAGATAGCAACAATCTTGGCAAAAAACAAAGAGAATTGGAGAGAAAAATACCAAAACCGGTTACTGTTCATGGGCACGAATCACTGTTCCCGAGCTTAAAATCTGATCTTCACCTTTCAGATTTTAACTCATTGAGTCGTGAACATACCCACACACCTCTATAAATAGACACTTAGGCTATTATTGAGAGTTATGAGTTGAGAGAGATGTAGCCTCATGAGGGAGTACGTTGATGGTAGGGGTGAGTTACGGGTTTGGTAGAGTGAACACTAATGGCGAGAGGGAGTCTCGTGGAGTACACGAAAAACTCGGGCAAGAGTTTGTGTGCATGGTCCGGTGTTAAAATTCTCTACTATTGTAATATCTTTACATATATAGTGAATCTCTTCTCATCCGTGGATGTAACCCTGATTTTGGGTGAACCATGTATATATCTTGTGTTGTGGTTTGAATTATTGTTTTCTTTCTTTCTTTTGCTTCCGTTGTGCCCCAACAACTGGTATAAGAGCCAAAAGGTGAAAGAGATCCAAAAAACACAATAAGTCTCAACATGTGCTACAACGGGCTTCAGTTGTAGGTAGAGTCAATCGGTTTTGTTACATGGCATAGAGCTTGAGTAGTCAAGGTGGAGCCTTGGGGTTTGACTGATTGAGCAACGCATGAGTTTTGCAATAAGATTGAGAAGATTGAAGTTGCAGAGAGTTGTCCAGATTCAATTGCCATATGAAAAGCGATGATTGACTTAATGGAATTTAAGCCAAGGTGGAGATTGTTAGGAATTATGTCTCAAATTCCTATTATTATTAGTTTCTATTTTAGAGTGTATTTTTTTATGGTAATTTCTTATAGAGACGTGAATTGGGTTCTAAGAAATTATAATCCTTGTCCACAAAGGAATTGGATATGTGACTCTATAAATAGACACTTCGGCTATTGTTGAGAGTTATGAGTTGAGAGAGATGTAGCCTCATGAGGGAGTACGTTGATGGTAGGGGTGAGTTACGGGTTTGGTAGAGTGAACACTGATGGCGAGAGGGAGTCTCGTGGAGTACACGGAAAACTAGGTCAAGAGTTTGTGTGCATGGTCCGGTGTTAAAATTCTCTACTATTGTAATATTTCTACAAATATAGTGAATCTCTTCTCATCCGTGGATGTAACCCTGATTTTGGGTGAACCACGTATATATCTTGTATTGTGGTTTGAATTATTGTTTTCTTTCTTTCTTTTGCTTCCGCTGTGCCCCAACACTTGCCTCTATGGTGTATCACATTTTGCAGGAAAGGAATAATAGGGTATTCAGATCCTCCCCTTCTTCGCAATCATCTGTGCTAAATCTTGTATGTAATTCAGTTGCTGAAGCTCTAAAATCTCGCCACAATGATTCCTACTCTCAACTTGCTTTGGAATGGTCCTATTCTCCAACCGCAGCTCGTCCGCTACCACTTCCTCCTGATCAGTAAGTAGAGGTGAAGCCTCAAGGGGGCTAGAAGCAGCCTTGTTACCGGAATTGTTGGGACATCCATTTCTAACGGTCAACGCCGTTAACAACGGCTGTCCTCCACATTGTTGTTGAGGATCCTTTTCCCCGTTGTTGTTGTTCCTTCTTTTGGGTTTGGCCTCCTATGTATCTTCTATAGTTTGGATATATTTTGCCTTCCCTGTTTGAGTTGGCTTTTTGTTCTGCTCTTGTTTCCCTATGTGCCTCTCTTGGGCCCTTATATCTCTTTATTATTATTAATATATTTGCTTAACCATTTGAAAAAAAAAAAAACTAATTTCAACAATATGCCTACTTAATTTTTGAGCTTATAAAATAAATAGAAATCTATATAAAATCCTGAAAATTACATAATCCATTCACAGAAATGTTACACTCAAGTTCTGAAACGTAAATTAAAAATATTTATTTAAAACTCGTAATTAAACTCAACGTTATTGATTGATCAAATTTATACCATACAATAATAAATTAAGTGAGAAGTCTCATTTCCTTGTAATTGAATTAATATATAAGGAATCTGTCTAACAATTCAATACGACTCATTGACCTTAAAAGGATTTTTCATCTCAGTTTGTTCAAACACCTTTTCCTCTTCTGTCCACCGATCCATGTAAAGATTTGACTTTGTAGTCAACTTTTAAGCCAAAGAGGACATAAGTTATTGAAATGCTTCTCTTTGAAATTCCATCTTCCATCAACTAGCCTGAAAGGAAATAAGTAAAAACTTGTAAACGTTGGGTCCAAACAAGTTTAAAGAGACGGAATATATTCTTTCATGGGCAGGCAATGAATCATGAATGGAGAAAGAAAAAGGGTGGACTATGCATGGAAGAGACAAATTGATCGATTTGAAGAAGCTAAATTATATCCGAATATATCTTTTATATATATGCATGTGTGTGTGTGTGTGTGTATAGATATATTATATCCTCTAATTGGCTATAAATATAGAGCCTTGAAAAAAAGCATTTGCATCTCACTACAACATATGTGGATTGAGAGAGGAAGAGAGGTCTTACATGAAGATAAGAGTCTTGTTTGGTAGCCAAGGATGATTCGCCTGCTACCACCCAAGGGATCTCACTATATATATATATAGATTGTATGTATATAATATATATACATGCACTGTGAGCCCTTCTATGGTTTCAGGCAGTCATCTTGGCTTATCTGACTGGCTCTTCTCCCTCATGCTAAGCCTTTTCTTCTGGAAAGCGTTCAATGTAATGGTGATATTATATCAAGTGATATCACCTATGATATCAATTATATATGTGACAATATCTTTATATCATAAAGCAAAATGCATCTAATTCAATGGAAATATTGCTATATTTTTTTTATTATTATTTAATTAATTAGTCCATCAATGACATATTTATGTTATTGGTATCAAGGTTGTAGTAAAAAAAAAAAAAAAATTATCCGTTTTTCCGAATGAGCTCTACAAGTCTTGAGTTTAATTTTCATTTTTAGCCTGTTGGTAAAGAATAGTGATTTCTAGGATTTGTTCTATTTATGAGTTAATTGTTATTTTCTTTAAATCGTGGTTCTTAATTTGTGTGATTTATTTATTTTTAATTAGGGTAACATTGTATAATGATTGTGTAACTTTACTTTAACTTTTTTTTGTTTAAAAAATAAAAATAAATAAAAAAAGCGTTGTGCAAATTGATGTTATATATAGATGCACATAAATATACTTGGATTGGAACCAAATTAAATATACTTAGATAGGAACAAAAATATATATATTTACACACTTGCTTTTATTTTTATAAAATTTAAAATTTATCATGTGTACATTCTTAATACATACTCATACAGGTACGTATGTATATACGACAATAAACTCTCTTGCATTAAATTTATTTTATTTATTTTTTTGTAAAAAGATAATTAATCCATCTTATCTTCAACCGACCCCATATCCGTCCATTTAACACGTGCCCTTACAGTAAACTGCCATGTTAATCTCCAATCGTAACGTGTCACTAATCTTCACATAACGTGACACCTGTACCGCTCACGTGGCATGCAGCTTGACTTCCTATACCAAACTTTGACTTCCTATATAAACTCGAGCTCATAAACACATATTTACATCAAACTCATATATCCACACACCCATCCAAGCAAAGGATAGTTATAAACCTGTGTTCAACCATTTTTCTCCGAGTCTCTGCTGAGTTTTTCAGTTTAATTTTAGGGTTGAAGGCATGGCAAATTACGGAGACAAGTACTATGGCAACCAACCGGACCCCAACCCGATTCGCCAACCTAATGTACATGGAGACCCGGTTTTAGAAACTGATGCGTATGGAAACCCGGTTCGCCAAACTGATGAGTATGGCAACCCGGTTCACCACACGGGTACCATGGGAGACTATGGAACCACTGGGGCCACCGGAGCAACTGGTACCACAGGTGCGTATGGTACAGAAACTGGCCTAACTGAGCAGCAGCAGCAACATCACGGCGGCATTCTTCATCGCTCCGGCAGCTCCAGTTCTAGCTCGGTAATTTTTCCGGTCATCTTTTAGTTTCTTACACATATATATATATTGTGCTGAATTGATTTCTTACAATATTTTGTTGTGTATATATGTGTATGATGTAGTCGGAGGATGATGGACATGGTGGTAGGAGGAAGAAAGGGTTAAAGGAAAAGATAAAGGAGAAGCTGCCAGGTGTGCATAAGACTGATCAGTCCCACACTACGGCCACGAGCGCACCCACCACCGGTCACGGCTACGAAGGAGGAGAGCAGCATAAGAAGAAAGGTGTCGTGGAGAAGATCAAGGAGAAGCTTCCTGGACACCATGACCTCCATCAAGACCATAATCACCATTACTAGAGGTGTTCTTGCATGGTGTAGCAACTTATATATATATATATACACATATGTCTTATATATGTTGGGTTACATATTAAATACACAGCTATGTGTGTGTGTGTTCGTTTGTATTTAGAGGGTGTGAAGGTTTACTTTACAAAGGAAGTGCATGTGTAATTAATAAGTAGGGTTGGAGTTGAAAGTGTTACATGACTGCACCTTGTGTTAAATGTGTGTTATGTGGTCTTTTTAAGTATGTTTTTTTTTTTTTTTTTTTTTTTTTTTTTTTGTGATTTATAGTTGGGCCTTTTTATTTATTTTTATCTAATTCGTCTTCTTTCACTTTGCTTCTCTTCTCTTTACATCACAGTTACGGTTTTTTTTTTTTTTTGGGTAAATAAGTGAGATTGGGCCAGTAACCCATTACAAAACAGCAAAGAGAAAATCCTGCATCGGTCAAAAGATGCCCAATCCAAAACATAAAAAAACCATGCTATCCAGGCCCAAAACAATATTACATTTTCAAAAGCTGGAGCCCATAGCATACCCAGGCCCACTAGAGGGAAACAACATCCTAAGCCCGAGGAACCAAAAGAACTGGCCCAAGGAGGGCCCAGCCCATGACAAGCTAACCACCTACCTAAGGTGGGTAGCTATAATTACAGCAGGAGTTGCACTGAGAGAGGAAGGGGGTGAAAAAAAAAGAGTAACAATTTCAAATTATCTAGAAAGAGAAAAATTACCATCAAATATTCCATTGTTCTCTCTACTAGCAGGTAAATTGGTAATTCAATGATGGAACAAAAAACTATATACTACCGAGAGTTTAACTCCTTTCAAATGGAATGGACTAGTACCTTCCACAAACCACTCAATCAAAAACCCTGTACAATTGCACTGCATTTGCGGTTAAAAAGCATTAATAATGGTAATTGTTAAAGCTTTTGGTGATGGGTGAATAATTATAGGTATTCACCCTCCGTTTGCTTGCTCTCGTTAAGAAGGAACCACAATACCCAAAAAAGAACCTAAATGGAGTACCATAATTTGCTTACTTCTCTTTCATTTACACGTGGAGTGTGGTGGTCTGGCTCATGATTTGAAGGACTAGTGAAACGTCGGCTGAATTTATTCAGTGCAATTTGGTCAGTGCACCAAATTTAATTAAATTTTCTTTAATTTCAATTATAAGACTGCGATTCAATACTCTCAAACATAGTTGAAGTGATCCCCTACATTTTGAAGGGATAGAATATATTCCATTCCTTCATTGGCAGATATAATTGATCGATGTTGTCATGCATGGAGATGAGAGGTGGAAAAGGAAAGGGAAAAGGGTGGACTATGGAAGGGGCAAATTGATCGATTTGAAGACGCTATATTATATCCGAATATATCTCGGTAATTTTTTTTAGTTTCGTGTGTGTGTATATATATATATATAACGTGTTAGAAACTTCCTTATATTATATATATTATATATATAGGCGTGAATTAGTTCTTACATTTTGCTTGTATATGTGTGTGTAGTCGGAGGATGATGGACATGGTGGTAGAAGGAAGAAAGGGTTGAAAGAGAAGATAACGGAGAAGTTGGCAGGTGGCCAAAGGAGTTGTAAGCAGTCCACCACCGCTCCCACTGCTTACGAATATGAACGTGGGGAGCATCACAAGAAGAAAGGGGTCGTGGAGAAGATCAAGGAGAAGCTTCCTGGACACCCATAGATCGCCATCACTAGGTGTCCTCCGTGTAGCAGCTTATATATTTATATATATATATAACACATATATGTATGTGTGTATGTATTTGAAGGGTGGGATGAGAAGTACTGAAGATTTAATATACGTATCTAGTGAGTCAAATCACTTTAGTTGTGTTAATTGTGTTTTATATGTGTTCTGTTTAATTTAGACCACTTTGGCAAGTTTGCAGGTTATGATGTACAATCAGCGTATGTAGCATTTGAGTAGTGATTTTTACGCTAAACAGTTGAATAGTGATATTTATATTGAATATTTAAATATTTGTAATGAATTGTCTAATCAAATAATTTTTAATTAATTATTTATACTAAATATAATTAATTGGAGAGTTCAACTTATTTATTTGTTGTATACAATTAAGTGGATGGTTCAACTTCCTTATTTATTGCATAGTTGTCCAATTAAAAAAGTATGTCTAGTAATTCACTGTAACTTAATTGTATTTAGTATAAATAGTCAATTCAATTTAATTCATATGTTCCGTATAAATATCACTACTCCTTAGCATTTATGGGATTACAACGAGGATGTGCTAATATTAATATACGGTGAGAAATTAATCATAAACGAACATCAATGCCAAAGTGAAAATTGGAAGGTCGAAATTGCAATATGTGCAGGACACTGCATGATTATAATCAAATGTACTAGTTCCTCACAGAATGCGATTCTCAAAAAGATTAGAGAGGTGGTTGGCCCAAATGTATACCATTGGGCCTCATGGTAGATTCTGTCCTTTTTTCATTACTTTAATTTTTTGTTTGGGCAAGGCCCATATTCCGCCTTAATTGGGTCTCTCTTTGTAACAAACTTCCTCATAACTATATAATTTGCTTGGCCTTAAAAGAATGAAATTATTCATCAACCTTAAAAAAAAATGAAAAAAAAATGAATTCTCTCTTTCCTTTATATCTCATCTGTCCTCTAATATTTAATTTTGTAAAATCATTTCTAATGATCTCATTCAATATTAATTTGGTAACTGATATTTACACTGAAGTCCTGCATCAAATTATTGGGCAAAATAATGTGGCTGTTCAGCTAACAGAGAATGTGATTTTTTACTAATATGTTTATTCACTTTTACTGTCCACCATTTCTAATTTCAAAAACCTCTCAGCCGTCCCTAATTTCTCAGACAATGTTTCTCTCATTATCCTCAATTTTTCTTTCTTGCACAAATTAGAAACCCGTTTCTCTCATCATCCCCAATTTTAGAGGGGTTTTATTTGGTGCAAGAGAGAGAATACATATACAGGGAGATTGATATATATATATATATATATATATATATATATATATATATATATATATTTGATTTATCAAATGTACTTTGTAAATCGTCAAAACATTTGGAATAGTTGCAAATCGCGTTGAATCGGAAGGAAAAAAAAAACGCCGTTGAAAAATTGGGTTCTATTTTGTGCAATAGAGAGAAATTGAGGATGATGAGAGAAACGGGTTTCTAATTTGTGCAAGAGAAAGAAATTGAGGATGAAGAGAGAAATATCATTTTGAGAAATTAGGGACGGCAGAGAGGTTTCTAAAATTAGGGACGGTGAATAGTAAAAGTGAATAAGCAGAGCTGAAATGCCACATCATTCTGTCTAACAATTCGGTATATGGTTTCGGTGTAAATATCATTTTCCTATTAATTGGAAACGGCAGAGAGGCTTTTGAAATTAGGGATGGTGAACAATAAAAGCGAATAAGTAGATTAGTAAAAAATCACTTTCTCAGCTGGACTGTCACATTATTTTGCCTAATAATTCAGTGCATGACTTTGGTATAAATATCATTTTCCTATTAATTTTGAGTGCCCTCTTTGGCTCCTAATTTTTCTCTTTTCACGGGTGCGTCTATAGTTCTTCTATGTATATATCCATACCACCTAATTTCTAATTTTCCCATCACATTTTGATATGTAACTTTTTCTTTTGTAGTCACTTCTATAATCAATCTTAACATCCTTCAAAATCAGAGAATTATTCAAAGTGAACAATTTCTATATTTAGGGTCGACAGACCTAAAAAATTATAGAAAATTATGTTAGAGGGGGCAAACTTATATAGTGAGAATTTTCTATAATTTTAGTTGAGGTAATATTATAATTTTTTAGATATATAATACAAAAAAAATAAAAAATTTAGATGTATAAAATACAAAAATAAACAATTTCAGTGGGGACAGATACTCAAATGATATAAAAAGACGGGAAGATAGATGGTGATATAATTAGTAGAACTGGCGCAAGTTGGACAAAACGAAAACATACAAGTAGAATGCCTTATGTGATAAACGAATACATATAAACTAAGCTGAAAATTTTATAAAAGAATTATTAGACCAACTATTTTATACCCACAAAGTATTGAGGGTTAAAAAAGAAGCATGAACAGGAATTAATGTAGACACGTGCCATGCAAGTAGTGAGAATCAAATCCTCTAAGTTGATCGAGCCATCCAGCATGATGCAAGTCGTGAGTTTTATGATCGACATTGACACAGGATTGGAGTAAACTCAGTGCACTAAAAGGGAATATATATACATGTTTGTGTGTATAGCATCAAATCCTATAAAGTAGGTAAATCTTTTTCTGTTTAGGCAAAATGCTTACTCGCTATTATTCTAAAATAAACTTGACTTCTAATGTGCCTACTTAATTCAACTGACTAAAGGGCCCCTAGTACAACAATATATACAATCTCTAGAAAAAGTTGAGTCTTAATCCCAACATAGGTGTATAATGATTGTGTGTTTTTTTTTTTCAATCTCTAGAAAAAGTTGAGTCTTACTACATAGGTGTATAATGATTGTGTGTTTTTTTTTTTAAATCTCTAGAAAAAGTTGAGTCTTAATCCCAACATATGTGTATAATGATTGTGTGTTTTTATTTTAACAAAAAAAAACTAAAAAAAGAAAAGAAAAATATCGTGCAAATTGATGTTATATATATACACAAGGCGAGCCATTGTATATCCGGGCACGTGCACCCCCTCCCTGATCCCCTATTGTAGTGTATATACTTCAATTGTGTTTTTTTTTTCCATGTATATAGCGAAAATTTCATATATTGCTCTCTTAAAATTTTTATTTTTATTTCTCTTTTCTCTTTTTCTTTTTAATTTCGTTTGATTTCCTTAATAAAAGTTAAATTTTCTTTTTGAATCAAACTATAATTGTTTTTCATTTTAAAGTTCTTATTTTTTTTTTCCTTTTTAAATTTTTGTCAACTAATTTATCTTTTTGCAATATTTTTTTCTTTTTGCCTCTTAATTTGAAAAATTTATATTTGTTATCATATTTATTAATTTAATTTAAATTTTTTTTTTTTAAACTATGAATATCTGACTCTGACACACACATAAATATGCTTGGATAGGAACCAAATTAAATATGACAAAAAAAAAAAATATATATTACTCACTTTTATTCTTATAAAATTTAATATTTATCGACCATCTATTTAGTGGGATGAAAAATTACTATAGTATACAATTAAATTTTTTTTTTTTTAAAGTTAACCAATCACACACATCCATGTTGTCATTGAAACTCGACCATACACTCAGACTCGTACAGGTACGTATATACGATCATAAACTCTCTTGCATTAATTTTTTTTTTTTTTTTGTAAAAAGATAATTAATCCGTCTTATCTTCTACCGACACCATATCCGTCCAAATAACACGTGCCCTTCCAGTAACACTGCCACGTTATTCTCCAATAGTTAACGTGTCACTAACTTCACATACGTGACACGTGTACCGATGACGAGGTATGCAGCATAATTTCCTATACCCACTTTGGACTTCCTATATAAACTTAAGCTCATAAACACATATCTACATCAAGCTCACATATATACATATATACATATATATACACACACCCACAGCCCCATCCAAACAAAAGATAGTTATAAACCTGTGTTCAACCTTTTTTTCCGAGTGTCTGCTGAGTTTTTCAGTTTAATTTTAGGGTTGAAGGTATGGCAAATTATGGAGACAAGTACTATGGCAACCAACCGGACCCCAACCCGGTTCGCCAACCTAATGGACATGGAGACCCGGTTTTAGAAACTGATGAGTATGGCAACCCGGTTCACCACACGGGTACCATGGGAGACTATGGAACCACTGGGGCCACTGGAGACTGTGGCACCGGTACCGGCACCGGCACCCGAGCAACTGGTACAACGGGTGCTTATGGTACTGGAGCTGGCCTAACCAGGCAGCAGCAACAACATCACGGCGGCAACCCGGTTCGCCAACCTAATGTACATGGAGACCAGGTTTCAGAAACTGATGCGTATGGAAACCCGGTTCGCCAAACTGATGAGTATGGCAACCCGGTTCACCACACGGGTACCATGGGAGACTATGGAACCACTGGGGCCACCGGAGACTATGGCACCGGCACCGGAGCAACTGGTACCGCGGGTGCTTATGGTACCGGAGCTGGCCTAACCGGGCAGCAGCAACAACATCACGGCGGCAACCCTGTTCGCCAACCTAAAGTACATGGATACCCGGTTCGCCAAACTGATGAGTATGGCAACCCGGTTTACCACACGGGTACCATGGGAGACTATGGAACCACTGGGGCCACCGGAGCAACTGGTACCACGGGTGCTTATGGTACCGGAGCTGGCCTAACCGGGCAGCAGCAACAACATCACGGCGGCAACCCTGTTCGCCAACCTAATGTGCATGGAGACCCGGTTCGCCAAACTGATGAGTATGGCAACCCGGCTCACCACACTGGTACCAAGGGAGAGTCAGGAGACTATGGAACCATTGGGGCCACCGGAGCCTATGGCACCGGCACCGGAGCAACTGGTACCACGGGTGCGTATGGTACCGGAGCTGGCCTAACCGGGCAGCAGCAACAGCAGCACGGCAGCATTCTTCATCGCTCCGGCAGCTCCAGTTCTAGCTCGGTAATTTTTCCGGTCATCTTTTAGTTTCTTATACATATTTATATATATAATTGTATGTTTGAAACAAACTTGTACGTAGTATTATTTGACTTTTGCAACTAATTATCTCGCTAGAATTAAATTTAATGCCAAATATGCCTTGAATTTACTTGAGAGTGTCAAATATTTTCCTTGTCGGTTGTGAAGTTACTAGAATGATTTTAATTTTCAAAATAAAAAATTAAGAAATAATTTAATGAAATATTTTCGGTAAAACACTCCGGCCTATTTAGTTCAGTTTTCTGATCGATCGATAACAATTTCTGTTTTTTATAACTGAAAATCTGTAAATAATAATAATAATAATAATAATAATAATTTGGTAAAGTTTTTATAGTCATCAGAAAACAATTTTAATTCTTGATTTATTTATTTTTAAGAAAGAGACTGAACCAAACAAGTCATTTAAATGTTACAACACTCGTTTTCACTTTAGTAGTATACGTTACTGTACTACAGTTCCTTCATTTTTAATATCAAATTGAAATAAGATTATTATAAGAAGTTTTTATGCACGCACGGGTGTGTGCAGTGTGCGTGTGCGTGTGTGTGTGTGTGTATATATATATATATGATGAATTGATTTCTTACAATATTTTGTTGTGTATATATGTGTATGATGTAGTCGGAGGATGATGGACATGGTGGTAGGAGGAAGAAAGGGTTGAAGGAACAGATACAGGAGAAGCTGCCATGTGCGCATAAGACTGATCAGTCCCACACTACGGCCACGAGCGCTCCCACCACCGATTACGGCTACGGAGGAGGAGAGCAGCATCAGAAGAAAGGTGTGGTGGAGAAGATCAAGGAGAAGCTTCCTGGACACCATGACCACCATCAGGAACATAATCAGCATTACTAGTTCTTGCATGGTGTAGCAGCAGCTTATATATATATATGTATTGTCTTATTTAAAATACACACAGCTATATATATGTGTGTGACTGTATGTGTTCGTTTGTACTTGAAGGTTTACTTATACAGATGAAGTGTGTAATTAATAAGCAGGGTTGGAGTTGTGTGTTAGTGTTACATGACTGCACCTTGTGTTAAATGTGTTATATGGTCTTTTTAAGTACTTTATAGATGTTTGTTTTTGTGATTTATAGTCGGGTTTTTGTCTATTTCATCTTCTCTCAATTTGCTTTTCTTTTCTCTTTATATCATTATTACGGGAAAAAAAATATTACATTTTCAAAAACTGGAGCCCATAGCATAACTAGGCCCACAAGGGGGAAACATCATTCTAAGCCCGAAAACCCAAAAGAACAGGCCCAAGGAGGAGACCCATGACAAACTACCTACCCACCTAAGGTGTTAGATAGAATTACAGCAGGAGTTGCACCGAGAGGACAGAGTTGGGGGGTGAAAAAAGGCAGTAACTGATGTTCATGTCTCTCATTGTAACAATTTCAAATTATCCAGGCCCAAAAAAAATATTACATTTTCAGAAACTGGAGTCCATACCATACCCAGGCCCACTAGAGGGAAACAACATTCTAAGCCCGAAAACCCAAAAGAACAGGCCCAAGGAGGAGACCCATGACAAACTACCTACCCACCTAAGGTGTTAGCTAGAATTACAGCAGGAGTTGCACCGAGAGGACAGAGTTAGGGGGTGAAAAAAGGCAGTAACTGATGTTCATGTCTCTCATTGTAACAATTTCAAATTATCCAGGCCCAAAAAAAATATTACATTTTCAGAAACTGGAGCCCATACCATAACCAGGCCCACTAGAGGGAAACAACATTCTAAGCCCGAAAACCCAAAAGAACTGGCCCAAGGAGGGCCCAGCCCATGACAAACTACCCACGTACCTAAGGTGTCAGCTAGAATTTACAGCGAGGAGTTGCACTGAGGGGAAGGGGGTGAAAAAAAAGCAGTAACAATTTCACATTATCTAGAAAGAGAAAAATTACCATTAAATATTCCATTGTCCTCTCTACTCGCAGGTAAATTGGTAATTCAATGATGGAACAAAAAACTACAGAGTATTTACTACGAAGAGTTTTAACTCCTTTCAAATGGAATGCACTAAGGGCTCGTTTGGTATACGTTGTGTTTTGTAGTGTTTTGTTTTAGTTTTTGTACTGTTTTGTTTTAGTTTAGAACGGAACAAATGTTTTGTAACGTCGTGTTCTGAAATGAGAACAAAATATGTTTAGCGACAAAAAATTGCGGTGAGAATTTTAGAACACAAACATGTAGAGGTAACATTTTTTACCTTATGAAAATATCCCTAAATTTAAAGATTTGGGTTTTTTTTTTTTTGAACAATCTGAAATGATATGCCCATATGGGTTTTGATATAGGTAATAGGTTTTGAACTTTTGATTCTTGTAGACAGATAGATAAACTGAAATATATGGGTTCTGAACTTCTGATTTTTGTAGATTTTGTAGTTTGCATTTGCAGAGAGAGAAAGAGAGAGGGCAACTTCAGAGTTGAGAACGAGAGTAGAGCTTGATTATAAAAAGATCATAAAAAATTTCACCAAATACGATTTAGTTTGCAAAACAAGAATTACAGAGCTTGATTAGTTGATTTATAAAAAAAATTTAAACAAAACCCATACACACAAGTTAGCAGTTGCAGAGAGAGAGGGGGGCAAGCTTGAGAGTTGAGAGACAGCGGCTGAAGCTTGCGAACGGCGAATTAGAACTAGAACAGCGGACGATGGAAACTGAAAGATATGGGTTTTGATTTTTTGAACAATCTAAAATGATATGCCGATATGGGTTTTCAACTTCACAAATCTAAAATATATGGGTTTTGAACTTCTGATTCTTGTAGATTTTGTAGTTTGCAGTTGCAGAAGAAGAAAGGGGGCAACTTCAGAATTGATAATGAGAATAGAGATGGAGGTGGGTTTTGAGCTTCTGATTCTTGTAGATTTTGTAGTTTGCAGTTGGAGGGGGGGGGGGGGGGGGGGCAAGTTCAGAGTTAAGAACGAGAATAGAGATGGAGGCGCGTTTTGAACTTCTGATTCTTGTAAATTTTGTAGTTTGCAATTGGAGAGAGAGAGAGAGAGAGAGGGCAATGTTGCCCAAGAATGGACTCTAGAGGGGGGGGGGGGGTGAATAGAGTCCTTGTCCAACTAAAGTAAGTTTAAAGATTTGAAAAAGTATTCTTAGAAAAACTACTTAAGCTGATATGCAATAGTGAGATAACAGAATCAAGTCAGATGAATTAGCATATAAATGTAAGCAGTAATGTAAAGGGGAGAGATAGAGATATTGCAAACATAGACACAACGATTTTAGCGAGGTTCGGAAGCTCCTACTCCTCGGCTCAAGACCCTTCTTGAGACTTTCCAATCCAATATGGCTCATCCTTACGGGTGGAAAGCAAACCTTGAAAGAAACAGTTTCTTCCTATTGAGAGACTATCTCTTAAAGTCTTAGGGGCCAAACCAGCCCTTACAGTAATTGGACTAAGAGAATTTCTTCTCCTAATCTTACAATGAAATGAATAGGTGTGTTACAATAATCTTTCTCTCACAATTTACAGTTCACTCTTTCTAGAGAATCCAATGATACAAATGAAGCTCACTCTCTCTAAATGAAGTATGTGTGAAAGAAGAATCTGAAGTTTAGCTTTGAGGATTAAAGAGTGGAGGGTAGCCAAACTTTCTTTGATATGAATCTATTGTTGAAAATGAGGCTCAGAGACTTCTCCTTTGCAGCTTGTTTCTCATAACATTTATAGAGCTCTTTCATAGACCATAACTGTTGTAAGCCCTTGACTTAGCCGTTGAAAGTCCTTTTCTTGATTAAGACTTATCATGGCACATTTGGTAGAGAAGCTTCCCATGACAAAGATTCCTTGTTTAACAGAAATGTTCAGTGCATAGGGCAGATAAGATTTGAAATCATGTGTATGATCCTTTAATAGATAAAATGGCTATTGACATCAAGACAAGAGCTAGAAGACACACAATATGTCAGTGAACCCATGTGAGTCAGACTGTAAAAGCATAAAGAGAAGCACGGGTTGAAATATGGAGGATTTCAATGCAGATCTGGTTGACCATCAACTAAGTCGACTCAATTGTGAATTGAGTCGGCTGGGTTCAAGAACAAGTCGACTTGGTCAATAACCAAGTCGGCTAAGTTGGATATTCAAGATTTTCAAAATGCATAGCCTCGGCCTAACTAAGTCGACTGAATTTTCAAACTAAGTCGGCTCAGTTGTGAATTGAGCCGGCTGATTTGTTAATTGAGCTGATTGAGTTACCTTTCTGAATTTGTTGAGTCTCGGCCTAATCCAGTCGGCTGGATTGCTGACTGAGTCGGCTGAGTTCAGTCTTAACCTATTTAATTGCTGCTATGTGATGCCTCAAGGTTTAGATACTTAGTGTTAATGATTGGAACTTTGATATGCATGAGTGTGATAATCTGAAATGTGTGAGAGATGAATGATCTTACAAGGAGCTTCAAATGATCTCATAGATTCTTTACATTTAGTTCCTAAGTCACTCACCAACCTGTCTACCCTATAGATAGGCTTTTATGATCTTTGAAGTTACATACACTTCCTTGAGCCGGTTGTATCTTGATAAATGTTCCAGTGTGATTTTAGCTTCAGTGAATTGGATACTTCATTCCTGTCCTTATAATGTTCCTTTTGATCTGGAATTGAAATTTAATGAAAACATTAGTCCATTGAACATCATTAATGGTTTGTTATCATTAAAAGTATCGAATTGCCCTTAAGAGAAATCCGTAGGGTCAACAATCTCCCCCTTTTTGATGATGACAAATCATTGATGTGTTCTTTATAATCAAGGAAATGGTTCTCCCCCTGTCAGTAGACATTAATTTAAATTTTGTAATATATGCTTTCAATAAGTAGACTGACAATTATATTGAGTAAGATTTATAGAGATTTTCAATCTCCCCTTGTCATTATGCAGACATAGACTGTATTGAAAGAAGGCACATAACATGACAAATTGAAGTGAAGCACATTGTAACATATATATCCAAAAGAAATGTCTATATATTTAATGTAGAAGTTAGTGCATGATTGACATTGAGACTAAATAGCTAGCTTTATGGAGTTGTGACAAAACAGCTAGCTTTTATGGAGTTGTGGAACCTCAAAATATCCTAAGATAGACCTGACATGATACTTCAATAAAACTTCCTCTACATGATTAACATATCAACTACTCATTTCTCCCCCTTTGGCAGCATAAAAAAGGAGGGAGGTCCAAAGCGCTACGAATCTCAGCAAGGTTGGCTTGCATGTCATCATAGCGAAGAGCCAATGTGTCCACACGGTGGGTGAGGGCATCCATCTTAGTTTCCATGCGACGCGAGATGTCGAGCTACTCCAATAAGATATCTTGTGTGAAAGGCGCATCAGACGGGGTGGCAATAGTAACAAGGGCAGGATCATCCTCATGATCATCCTCATTATCAGTACCTTGAGTCTCGTCAACATCACAGTCCTCATTAATTGGTTCTTCTCCCCTGGCAATGGCATCTTCCCACCTTTTCTGCCTAGGGTAGAACCAGGTACCCTGTTTATCCTGTTCAAGCCCCATGAGTCGCAGTTGAGTGGGACTAAATTTGTCTTTGGGCCCAAGCGATTCAGATTCTTCAAATTCGAGAGGATAATTCCATCGTGTGAATAAAAGAGATAACGGCATAGCATAATAGAGAAATTCGGATTGTTTATCCTTGCATTTGAGCATGTGATGGAGCATAACATAAGCAAAGTCGAACACCTTGCCGTTTAGGACACACCACATGAGAAACACCTCCATTCGAGAGACAGTTGAGTGACTCCCGGACTTAGGAAGAAAATTGTATGTAATGATGTTGTGAAGCACTCGTGCTTTAAGAGTGAGCTGGTTAGCTTTGATGCAAGAGATGTTGGTGAGAGTCTTAATAAAACTAATTTGACGCACAGCCTTATACTTGTCAAAGTCAGGCCCCTCATACCATTTGTGAGAGGAGTAATGTTGAATCCCTCCTCGAAAAATTTCCAATGCAGCACCAAGTTCATCTGCATCAAAAGTATGTGTGGCAAATCCCAGAAAGGTGCGAACATTCTTTGTTCTTCCAACTTATTCCAGATGAGTGTAGAACACCTT